CTTTGAGAATAATTTTAAATTTATAACAAAAATTGTGAAGTAATATAGAGTTCCCACATACTCTAATGCTCAGATTCCAGCATCTTATATTAGTATGATGAATGTGTCACAATCCATAAAACACCCAGTTCCCCTATAATTAACATGTTAATATAACGTGTCTGTCATACTTAATGAACTACACCCAGACTCACCCCATTTTTTCCCAACCATCAGCCTCTAATATTCAACATTTGTATTCTTTCTTTTCAGCTCCCACTTAAAGGAGAACATGTGATTGTGTGTGTGTGTGTGTGTGTGTGTGTGTGTGTGTGTGTGTGTGTGTGTGTTTGACTTATCACTTAATCACTTAATGTGATATCTCTGGTTCCGTTTCTTTTGCGACAAATAACATGACTTAATTCTTTTTCATTTGGCTTAGTTTACTGTGTTAATCTGTACTATGTTTTCTTTATACATTGATAGCATTTTTTGACATATTTACCCATGGTTTCATTTATTTTACTGCTTCTTAATACTTGATTGTGTAAAGATAATGTAATTACCTTTGGCTGATGAGAGCCCGCAGGTTTTTTTTTTTTTTTGAGATTTATTTATTTTTATTGGAAAGGAAGATACACAGAGAGGAGGAAAGACAGAAAGGAAAATCTTCCATCTGATGGTTCACTCCCAAGCAGCCGCAACAGCTGGAGCTGAGCCAGTTGGAACCAGGAGACTTCTGAGTCTCTTACACAGGTGCAGGGTCCCAAAGCATTGGGCCACCCTTGACAGCTTTCCCAGGCCACAAGCAGGGAGCTGGATGGGAAGTGGAGCAGCTGGGACACAACCTGCACCCATATGGGATCCCAGCATGTTCAAGGCGAGGACTTTAACGGCTACGCTATCACTCTGTCCCCCCTCCTTTTTTTATTTGTTATTGCAGACATCATTGCTGTGAAAATATTTTAGGACATGTCTTAGCACACTTAGCTTAGAGTATCTATAGCCACATGTCTCTTTTGCCTAGTGCTTGCCTGATGCTTTTAGTTCTGGGTCATCCATGTGATGATTTTTTAAACACTTCCTAAAATATCTTTTTTAAACTAGAAAATGCCATTATTTTGCATTTAAAGTTTGTCTTTTTTCCCTCTTGTTAGTCAGTTTTGGTTGCAGTGATGCTGTGCAACATCTGCACATCTTCAGTGCCATATAGCCACAGATGTTTCTCGATCCCGGGTCTGTAGTCTCCTGAGTTTGGCTGGATTTGGCTCTAAGCTTTGGGTTGGCTTCAGTAATGTGTCGGATGTCCACACATTCTGGGCCAAGGCTGTTTGAGACACGTGTTTCTCATATTGTAGAGTAGCAGTGTAGTAGGGTATAGGCATACTCAGTGCTCCCAAGATCCCTCTTAGAGCGGTGTTCCGCCTGCATTCCAACAAGGCACAGTGCCTGGGAAATGAGATGAAAGCCAGATTTTACAGGAATATCCCAATGTGTCTTATAGATGAAATTGTGGGCTTATAAATCAAATATCATGTAAAATATACATATACACATTTTATATACACATACATATATGCACATACACATATGTACATATACATATATGTCCATGCATACACATATAGGCAAAATTTCTCTTGGATGTTATGAGAACTGGAAAGATTTTTCTTTTCCACTTCCTCCTCCCCCTTCCTTCGATTGGGGAGGAGAAAGGGCATGTGAACGTTTAATCTTGTGTGTTATTGAAGTGCTTTGTTTCTTGAAGGGTTTGTAGAACACTTTGGAAGTAGGTGGGAGGATCTACATTTTAAAGCTATGATTAGCACAAATAATGTATTTTGAAAAAATATTTGTTCGTTTATTTGAAAGTCAGAATTCCGGGGGGGGGGGGGAGAAAAAGAGAGAGAGAGAGAGAGAGAGAGAGAGAGAGAGAGAAAGAGCAGATCAATCTTCCATCTGCTGATTCACTCCCTAAATTGCCACAATGGCTATGGCTGGGATAGGTCAAAGCCAGGAGCTTCATTCTAGTCTCCCAAGTGAGTGGCAGGAGTCCAAGCGTGTGGGCCATCCTCTTCCACTTTCCCAAGCACATTAGCAGAGAGATGGACCAGAAGTAGAGCAGCTGGAACTCGAATAGGCGCCCACAGGGGATGCTGGCACTGAAGGTGGAGGCCTTTCTAGATGTGCCACAGGCCTGATCTTAGCATGCATAATCTTAAAGTGAATTCAGTTGTAGGTTATTTGTTATTGTTTCCAATAACTAATCATCACATTTTATGTCAATTGTAATGTATGCATTGTTGTATGTTTTAAGCTTTTAAGATTTTGTATGCATTTGTTTTTTTTAACCTCAGATGGTAAGCAATACATTCTGTGTTTATAAGTTTTATTTTCCTTGTGTATTTTTAGGTTTTTGTTGTTAGTGCTAAGAAAACTCTAGCTGGGGCCTGGTGCAACAGCCTAGGGGCTAAATCCTTGCCTGGCATCCGCCAGGATCTGATATAGCCTCTGGTTTGTATCCCAACAACTCCATTTGCCATCCAGCTCCCTGCTTGTGGCCTGGGAAGGCAGTAGAGGATGACCCAAGGCCTTGGGACCCTGCACCTCTATGGAGGATTGGCTCAGCTACAACTGTTGTGGCTGCTTGGGGAGTGAAGCAGCAGATGGAAGGTCTTTCTGTTTGCCTCTCCTTCTCTCTGTAAATCTGGCTTTCCAAAAAAAAAAAAAAAAAAAAGAAGAAGAAGAAATGAACTCTAGCTGATTTAACCCCATCCATTGAATATTGGGTTGCATATGCTTATGGACAGAAGGGTACTTCATAGTAATAGTACAAGGTGCTTTAAAATTACCATTTAAGAATGTTAAGTTTAAGGTAATTGTATTTTATATAAAGATGAACAAGAAGAAGTCTCTGAGCAGAGATTAGACAAATATAAATCAATGTGCTACTGGATCATCAGTGAACGTTTGGTCTGTTTGGTGTGTTTGTAAGATAGCATTTCTTTCTTTGTCACTGAGTGCACTCTAGGTTACCCTGTTCTACCTCGGATTTCAGTAAGGGAAAACCTGACAGACTCTACCAAGTACCATTGGGAAAATTGTATTTATCATGAGTTACTTTCATCATGTGTTCTCCAGCTGGCATGTAGATAATACATTGTTTTAGATTTCCTACAGAAATTCTCATTTCCTTGGGATATTTGGGTTATCTGGAAATAGATATCATTTGCTAGTGTGCAAATAAAGAAGAAAGCTTGTGGGCTGGAGGTCAGGTGATAACACGGCAGTGCTATGATTACATGCCACTGCTAATTACAGCGTGTGGACCATGCTGTGCATGCAAATGCTGATGCAAGCTGTTTTCATTTTGTACTTCTTGTGTGTGTTATGCTACACTAGTGAAGTGTCTAGGTGGGGGCAGGCATTATTTCTTCAAATAATATTGCCTTATTTTTTATTCAAAAGCGTAATTCCTCAGTGTTACTCTCTTCCTTACTGGTTAAAAAAATAAAGTGTTGTGTAGTGCGTACAGTCTGCGTTTCACACTGGTGTCCCACATGGCCACTGGGCTGTGTCTGGGCTGCCTGCTAATGACCGGGAAAAAGAAGTGCTAATGACCCGAATGAAGCTCCTGGCTCTTGGCTTCGGCCTGGCCCAGCCCCAGATACTGGAGCCATTTGGGCAGTGAATCAGTGGATGGAAGATCCCTTTCTGTCTTCCCCTCCCTCTGTAACTCTGGCTTTCAAATCAATAAATCTTAAAAAATATATAAAGTAATTGTAAATTGTAGAAGTAGTAGCTTATTAGTTCATGACGAATGAAGTAGCTTAAAGTAGCACAAGTGTGAATTTTGTACTTGATCTTAATTTGTCTCTGGAATTTTAAATGTTATATTTAGGCAGGAATTTGTGTGTCTGTGATTATGTTCAAATATATTTATACTTCATTTAAAAATATTGACCAGTAGAAAGATATATTTAATAAATCTTAGCAACAGATTACATTTGTGTTAATAATACAAAATGATATTTTGTGTGATACTGTGAATTGACGACCAAATAAAACATTTTCCGTGTAGTATTTATCAAGTAAGTACTTAGAAACAAAATGGCTTGAAAGGGAGAACTCTCGTTTGGTAGAACTCTTGTTTGGTGAGAACATTTTTCTTCCTACTTTGCTGTTGTTCCCATTTTTTTCTTTTTTGGTAAGGTGAACTTATTTATTATTAATGATAAGTAAAATGGCCACTGTTAGAGGAGAACTATAGCAATAACTTGAGTATTACATGTATGCAATTAAAAGAGATCGAGTAGATGTGATGTGCAGTTTTTGCTCTAGCTGGCATGCTTTCTAAGATTTTACTTAGGAAAGAAGAAAAAGTTTTTAGTACTGGTAACAATAACCTCAGTAAGTTTCTGTATGCTAGTTACTTTATCCATGTTACTTACTTTGAAGTAACTTGTTTCGAAAGAATGGAATCAGTGAATAAATGATGATGTTCTAAAGAGTGACAATCTTTGAAATTTAATAAGTATCAACAAAAAGGGTATCTTCTGGGAATAGTGGGAAAGTTTTGAGACAATTATTTTCCTCAGTTTTTTAGAGAACTTCATTTTAAATATAGATTTTTTAAAAAAACCTATCTTTTTTGGGCCTGGCGGCGTGGCCTAGCAGATAAAGTCCTTGCCTTGAACGTGCTGGTATCCCATATGGGCGCCAGTTCTAATCCCGGCCGCTCCACTTCCCATCCAGCTCCCTGCTTGTGGCCTGGGAAAACAGTTGAGTGCGGCCCAATGCCTTGGGATCCTGCACCCATGTGGGAGACCTGGAAGAAGTTCCTGGCTGCTGGCCCCGGATTGGCACAGCACTAGCCGTTGTGGTCACTTGGGGAGTGAATCATTGGACGGAAGATCTTCCTCTCTGTGTCTCCTCCTCTCTGTATATCTGACTTTGTAATAAAAATAAATGAATCTTTAAAAAGAACAACCTATTTTTTTTTGTCTTTGTTTCTTGGCTAGGACATGTATTCGTCTGCGGAACCTTGGACAGCAGATTTTGGTGTGATATCCATTTGGGACGGCATATGGAGACACTTCCAGTCATGAGTGAGTAAACTTATTGTTTTGTGTCAACCATGTGAACAGCACGTGCAACTTGGTACTTACGAAGCAGAAAATATGTTTTGCTAGATACATTTTATTACATCATTTCTTCTTAGGTTGACTCTAATGTAGTGTCACTCAGTGCTGTGCACTTGTGTCTTATTTCTGTTTGATATTTGAGTTATTCTCAGAAGTGGATCATGAAATCTGCTATTAGCTTTTTGGTTGGGTTAGTGCTGTTACCTTTCTGTTGTACAGCTGTTGGAAGATGAATCTTTACAAATTGGAATAGGAAACATTTGCACTTGCCTACAATTATCAGAGATTTCATTGTGTGAAATTTAGTAAGTGGATAATATTGGTTAATATGTTATCGTTAACAAAAAACTGCTCTTTTCATTAATGTCTTTGATAAAGAGAGGGGTTATTCTGGACTTCCCAAACTAGATGCAGATTTTATCTTCTTAGTTCTTAAATAAATTGTATATGAAATGTTTTCTCTCCATTCTTACTTATTTATACTTGTGAATGAAGAACCAGATTTTATTATTTTGTGCTAATATTTTTAGAGAGTAAGGAAGGAATTGAGGTTTTTTTCTAGCTGGTATTTTATGGCAGTTGTGAAATACAGATTTTCTGAGTATGGAAGCTTACAAATGGAATAAACATTGTCTCAATGGAATGTAATGTTACAGAATTTAAAATGTTTCACATAACCTTCATATTGATTACATTTATCCTAGTATGAAATGAGGCAGCTTTGCTTGTCAGTCTAAGGAATTGGGCGCTTGATAATGGAAATGCTGCTGTTGTGAAACCTTTGAGAGCTTTCTACTGAGAGTAGTGTTGCAGATAGCCTTTAATTTCTTAGTGGCGTACTCCCTTGTAATTTACTTTAAATCAACAAGGAGAGATGCTAGATAACTCCAAATGCAGGTTAAGAAGCAGCTTAGTTGTTTCTGCTCCATCCATATCAAATTTTGTGATGATGTTTGCTTACTGTACAGTGCTCAGTATTGAAGGTGATCATGAGGTCAGGAAAAATTAAAAGAGAAAATGCTTATTTATGGAAATCAACACAGTTTCCTTTTGTTTAATAAATTTAGTAGAAATCACACATGTACTTATTTGGGTTTTTTAAGGACAGATGTCCTTTACTGTGTCTGTCATGAAGCTTTTGTGTTTGATACAATTTTTTTGTAACTTGCTGCCGTTAAAACATATGCCCTGCCATTTAATAGGAGGCGGACCAGTGGCATTTTTTAATTTTTAAATTAAAATGTTTGTGTTTTGTTTACAGGGTTTTTAATTGGTTCTTCTGTATATCCATCAGTTTTTCTTTCATTTCTGTTTATAGGTGTTTTATCCATTTATTACTACTTTTTTTATCTCTTTGTGAATCCTCTGAATGCTTATTTTTAGGGTGTCTTCAGATCATGTGATCATTTAAAGTTTTGCCTGCAATGAATTTATTTTGTGGTTTCTGTGTTGATAGTGGTTTCATCGTGTTGTGTAAATTTGCAGGCGTATTGGAATAGAAGTTTGGTTTTCTTTCTCTTTGTTCCCTGTTTCCCTCTATGGTTATCTGTACTGCTGGTCCAGCAGATTTGTAATTGTCTCTGCCTGGCTTTGGAGTTCATGGATCAGAATCAGGGCTGTGTTAGCAGCTCAGAGCTCCAGCCTCACGGTGATGCTGGGGACATCACAGATTTAGTCACTGAGTCAGCTGGCATTAGGTCAGCCACTTCCTGTAAGCTGTAGCTTCAGTGCAGTTAGCAGAGGAAGCCTTTTGCAGTCTCTTTTCACAAACCAAGAAGACTGTCTAAGCCTGATTTTAAGCAGAGAGCCTTGCTTTCCACCCTGCTTCTCTCATACAGAAAGATTTTATTTACAGCTGCCACATAGAATCAAACTTCCTCTGCTTTTCCTGCTGAATGACCCAAAGTGCAGCCTACATTTTGGGTTTAGCTTGCCTCATATTTTGTGTTGTTTTTAGATTTATAGGTATGTAACAAGTTTTGGGGCATGGCTGATTTTAGTTATTTGTACCTTTTGTTAGCTATTTTGATGAGTTGGTTGTGAAGAAAGGAGGGCAATGTCAGGGGTGGGCCTGTGTTAACTGCTGGTATTGCTTCTTGGCCTTTTGATCAAGTGCAAAATAGTGCCTGGACTACTTATTTAGTATTTAAGACTTTGTTTTTACAGTGACTGCTCAGTACCCTAGTTGCTAAAGCTCTGCTCCATCATTTGTACAGCACATCATATGCTGGGTGAGCACTGTTGTACTGCTCATTCTTGTCTCATTCAGGTCCCTGTTATACTGTATATAATCTGTTCATTTGTGCTTGTTTTTTTTTTTTAAAATCTGTATGCATTTTGAGGGAAAGGGCTATTTTATTCCTTGTACCAAATGCTGCTCCTGGCACTTAGTAGATGCCAAATAAATATTGCATAGCTATTGTATGTGGTTCAAAGGGAATGTGAAAAGAAATGAAAATTAGTTTGTATATTATTTTTAGATGAAATGTGAACTGTTCTCTTGAGAGAGAGAGAGAGTGTGTGTGTGTCATAGGATAAAGCATTACAGGTAGGTAGAGCAGTGTAAGAAAGGCATGGAGGTTTGATTCTGTATAGGGGTGTGTGTGTTTTAAGATTATTTTTGTTGGAAAGTCAGATAGACAGAGAGGAGGAGAGACAGAAAGATCTTCTGTCTGCTGATTAACTTCCCAAGTGGCTGCAACGGCCACAACTGAGCTGAGCTGAGCTGATCCGTAGCTAGGAGACAGGAGCTTCTTCCAGGTCTTCTGCGCGGGTGTAGGATCTTGGGTCTCTGGGCCGTCCTCTGCTGCTTTCCCAGGCCACAGGCAGAGAGCTGGATGGGTTAGAACCAGCTCACATCTGGGATCCCGGTACGTGCAAGGAAAGGATTTTAGCTGCTAGGCTATTGTGCCGGGTCATGCGTAAGTGTTTTTAAGTAGAACATTCTTGACCGTAAAGACGGGAAGAGAGATTCAGAGATAAAGCTAAAGAAGACCAATCAGGTCCAGCTAACTTATATTCTAGGAAGTTTGAACTTCATCCTGGTAGGGCTTGAGGAGCTTGTATGAAACGATCTCAGTTAGGGAACCTTAATAAGATTTTATTATGAAAAAAATTGCTCTGACAAAAAGACATGTTGATAAATGTAAATTTAAGAAAATTGGTTACACAGGCAATATTTGCTTCTTCTGGTGTTTTTAGTTTCCATGTTGCCTTGTAGTCACATTGAGTTACAGTTTTTTTTCTGGCCAATCTGGTAATTTTCTTTAGCATAATACATTGTTCGCTGTAGGAACAGGTGAGTGAATATTGTAGTAGTCTTTTATGTAGCAGTTTCTAGGGAGTTATAAGTCCCCCAGAATGTGGGAGCTGCATATATCCAGAATTCCCATTCTGGGAAAAAATGTGGACATATGATTATCAAGTAGGAATGTATATCATTGAAGTTAAGACAGAGTTTACAAATCTAAGATTTGTGTGAAATGACGGATTAACTAACATTCTTTTCCTCAGTATTTCTCTAAAGATTAAAGACATATTAGGTACTTGTGTGTACCTCTGGATTTACCTTGGAGGATTGTCCAGTCCTTTCCATGTTATGGAACATATAGAACTTGGTAATAATTGTAGAGCACATGGAATGAACTGGTGAAGGTTGAGGGTATAAGGGTCAGATACATTGAAAGCTGGGGGAATAATTTTCCCATTCACCCAGACCATTGTCCAATTGAGAAGTCGTCCCCACTGTAAGGCATATAGCTTATGTTTTTCAAAAATTTTTATTTTTGCTGATGTCTAGCCTTTCAAATTCTAAGGTTGAGTGTATATTTTGTAGAAAATGTGTTCACAGTCTACGGCCATATCACCCTGAACGCGCCTGATCTTGTCTGATCTCGGAAGCTAAGCAGGGTCGGGCCTGGTTAGTACTTGGATGGGAGAAAATGATGGTATTATAATGTACCTTTTATGAATATCTTAGATCTTTACTGGAGTTTCTTTTTAAGAGGTTTGTTTAGTTTTATTGAAAAGGCAGAGTTACAGAGAGGAGGAAAGAACAGAAAGATCTTCTGTCCATTGGTTCACTCCCCCCAAGTGGCTACAACTCTTGGAGCTGAGCTGATCTGAAGCCAGGGGTCAAGAGTTTCCTTTGGGTCTTCTATGTGGGTGCAGGAGCCCAAGGATTTGAGCTATTTTCCACTGTACTCCCAGACCATAAACAGGGAGTTGGATTGGTAGCGGAGTAGCTGGGATATGAACTGGTGTCCATCTGAGATGCCAGCACTTGCAGGTAGATTAGGCATTTGAGCTATTACATCAGCTCCTTTGGTGGAGATTGTAGTAACAAGAGAATTTTATGTGAAAAGAAGTGTTAAACTAAATAATGATTATTTTGGTTGAATACATATTTTTTTAAATCAAAAAAGCACCAGAACAGAGAAAAGTGATTAATGAGGGTGCTACTTTATTTTCTTTTTGTCAGACTGAAACACTGCTGTTGGGATTTGTTGCTAGAGTTCTCTTTGCAAAAATCATTGTAGTTAATTCATAAGGTTTTATAGGATTTTCTAGGTTTAGAAAAAGGGAAGTGGGAGTTCCCTTCCTGCTCAGAATATACATCATTATACATTGTGTGTTAAAATCTGACTCAGATTGTCTACACAGCTTCCCATATTTGTGGTTGCCTGGCCCCTTTCTTAGTACAATGGTGCAGGATAAGCTTTTCTCGAACATGCTCTGAAAACATGTTCAAGGAATAGATTGTTTCAAATTCTTGCCCATGTTACTAAATACTCTTTACACCTGAGTCCTACACTCTTGGTTATAGAATCTATAAAAGAAATTGAGTTATTATTGAAACATTTTCTTTGAAAATTTTGCTTCCTTTTACTATAAGCCCTTTAAATCTTTAGCATAATTGCATATTACCATAGCAGTATCCACTTAGTAATTCTTTTGAATATTTG